GGGGGGGGGGGGGGGGGGACGCGTTCCGACCGCTCGTGAGTTTTTGTAGCGTTTTTCTGAACCTCGGCGGGCGCCTGATTTGTTTTGGGTGTGTGGCACTGTAACTCAGTATATATTTCGAATTCGAAATTTTTGACGCCGCATTCGTTTTCTCCACCCCAAAATTACCTTGACCTGAAAATTTCAGATCGATCGGAGCACTTTTCAAACCCGGGGATATTTAGCGGCCATCCCCGGGTTTTGCGTTTTCATTTTTTAGCCGCCTGATATAGGTAAAGTGTGTTGAAACCCGGGTAAGATGAACGAGTTTGATTTTCAAATTTTGCACAGCATCATCATTATGGCCAAGGATCATGGGATAATTTTTTCGAAGACAGGGGGGGGGATGGTGACGATCCGTTCCCCCCCCCCCCCAAATAAATTCGGCTTTAGCTCGGAACCCGCCCGGGGCAAAGTACTACAACCGCAGTCAATCCCTCCGTGCTGCCACAACCAGTGATTTGGAACATGCACACTGTTGTCCGTATAAAAAGAAGTCCACCTCCCCGTTGTGAGCCACTAGACTAATTGTATCCGTTCAACCCGAGCAGTAGGCTATAGACTTGACTCTACACTCATCCCCATGGAGCGCTCTCTCTTTCGACCGCTTCGTCATCAGAGTAGCAAGGCACCACCGGCCTTCTTGGCGATGAACGCTGGCGGAAACTCGTACCGGTCCTGGAAACAATACCAGAAAAGTCCTCAACAGCTGAGCGGAACGACTCGCTGTCCTGTGTGCGAGCAGTTCTGACAATACGATTGCCGTCGTGTTCGTCGAATTCGCTGCTGCTGTGTTCGACATCGAAACCGACAGCCGCTGAAGTTACCGCTCGTGGTAGCAGTGACTCTGTTGGTCGGGTTGTAGAGCAAGCCATGATAATGACCTGCATTACAACCGCCAAAACCATCGAGACGTTTATGCCCAACAGAACGCCTCCATACAGATCTTGACTCTCACTCGTCCCATCGGTAACACGTTGCTCGAGTAGAAAGGCGACGAAAATACTGAGCAGCACGATCACGTGACCGGATCGAGAGATCCAAGCCTCCCATTTGCTGTCGTACGGAGCGAGGGCCTCGGACAACAAGGCGAATGTGCACGCCATCACCAGTGTCACGGCTATCTGTGCTTAGCCTCTAGGGTACACAGCCCCAACATTATTATACCGATGGTCCAGCATTCTACTGCTAACAGCATATTGGTGAAATTGAGAGCGAAGCATCTGATTGAGAGCGAGATTGCGCGATGCGCTGCAGCTGGACTACTGCTGAGAGGTGGAGCTTGCTGTGTAGTTTGAATTGAAGGGCTAGCCCGTAGCTACAAGCAGATACCCTGGTCATCCTGTGGGAGTCTCATGATGAGTAGCAGTAGAAAAAATAGGGTTGAAGTAGTTTCCGAAGAAACAGATGGGGCCGAAGCCGGGGAAGGTTCGAAAACGCAACCCGAATTTCCGAAGAAACGGGGAGGGCCGAAGCCGAAGCAGAGGTCGAAGCCAAAGCAGAGGCCGAAGCCACAACAGAGGCCGACGCCGAAATAGGGGCCGAAGCCGAACAAAACGATCCCGCAAAAAACAAATGCTCCATGATCATCTGTAACCGCATGTACGAGTGAAGACACAATTTGCCTGGAATCTACCGCCGGCGCCATCTTCCAATTGTCCCAAGAGGTCCCTCCACATGGAACTCCAGCAGCACCTGGTAGTAAAGGCACTGCAAGCGTGGACTCATCAGATACCACTGGCTGCGGCGTCCCATCCTCCTGAAAGTCCCCCCTTCGTACGTGAAATCGCCCCTCCAGCAGCAGCCGAACACGCGGCCGGTGAAGAGAGAGCTCGCCCGGTTGCCATCGTCTCGGGGCTTGAAGTCCGTGGATGTCGTCGGTTTAGTGTCGTCCATGATGTCGAAGCCGGAGATGATGTCCGAGAGTCGGCCGGTGTTGGCCGCGTCTTCTCGACTCGGGTTGTGGCTGCTGTACCAGCATGGTCATGGATGGAAGGAAGCGTGGAGAGGGGGGGGGCACCGAAGCATTCAAGATACTGCTGTAGCAGGTGGAACAGTCGAAACTGCAGGAGTAACCGAGGTTACAGCTACAAACGCCGAAGCAGCAACTAGCGTTGGGGTTGGTTGTCGAAACAACAGGTAAGGAAACCGCGGTGCGAGCACGGCGGGCTGTCGAAACTGCGGGCATAGTCGAAACTAGTGGCATGGAAACCGCGGTGTGAGCACGGCGAGCAGTTCAAACTGCTGTCACAGGCGTGACCCGAAGCTACAGCACGTGTCCAGTGGGGTGGGTGACCAAAGTCATAAAACAACCGGTTAGTGCCGTTAGAGCAGTCGAAACTGCAGACACAGACGGTGTGAGCCGCACCTACATAAGCCATACACAACCGGTTAGTGCCGTTTGCGAGCAGTCGAAACTGCAGACAGAGACGGTGTGAGCCGAAGCTACATCACGTCTCCGGGTTGGGTGACCGAAGTCACAATCAACCGGATAGTTTCGAGTACTCTTGATGTTTATATGCATCAGCGGCAAAATGTGGCTATAGTCTACACACTTGCGACAAATGTATAAGTACCATGGGATACACCACCCGCTCAATAATTTGGAATTTGTTGGGGAAGGAAACAGAACGAATACCCACACAGCCAGCAGCAGAGCTGTACGGTGCTCACCCCGGAAGGTGAGCGCGGCGATAAGAGATACTGCTACTCGCATGATCAACCGAGCGTCAACGGCAAGTTTCGCCCAACAAACGTGTTTGTCGGCCGTACTCCGCGTACTTATCGGGACTTGTTTGTGTAGTGTATTAACTTCAGACGGTGAGACAACGCCCGTACCCAGGACGCTGTCGTGCTCGGAAAGATAGGGATTGGATCCCCAAGTCTGCCCTCACGGCTGCATGACTTGTGCGCTCGGAGCATTCGAGGATGATTTTCGCTGCTTTCATCTGCGCCGCCTCGAGTTCTTTCACTACCTTCTTATTTCCTTCCCATACTTCTCCGGCGTACTCTAGCGGCGGTACGATTACGCTCTTCAAAACCGTCAATTTGATGCGTGTATCGAGGTGCCGGTTTGCGAGTATTGGGTGCAGCTTCCCTGCTCGTGCTTTGCCCTTTTCCGCTACCTTGGACATGTGTGCATTCCACGAGCAGTCTTTTGCGATCTCTACTCCGAGGTATGTGTACTGGTCCACTACTGCAATCTCCTCGATCCCCCACTTCCATCTATGTTCTACTGGTTCCTCCTTGTTCTCGTTGCAAACCATGACGGCACTCTTCTGAACGTTGGCAGACAATCTCCACTTATCAGTAAACTTCTTCGCCGCGTCAATTTGCAGTTGCAGTCCCTCAGCGTTGTCCGACATACAGACAAAATCATCCGCAAACAGCATTCTTGACACCGAAGTTTCCGTGTCCTCTATTTTTACTCCCTTCCGGACTGCCAGTTCGACGTCCAACAGATCGTTGATGAACACCTGGAACTGTTTGCGGCCTACGCCACATATTGATCGGGTGAGACGATGATGCATTATCTTCACGAGAGGTAGACGACCGTCCTTCACACTGACGAAAGAGGGAGTGTTCCAAACAGAGCGTCTCCAACAGCATGGAGGGGCCCCGTGCATCATCGCGGTGCTCGCTACCAAACGGCAATCTTACCAATCTGCGTGACACCAAATCATACAGCACATGTATCCAACACCAATGTTCGCAGACCCACGAACTCCCTCCCTGCTTCTTCACGCAAGTGACTAACCGTCAATGGGGCAAGAACACCCTTTGATACATCTGAAAATGCCAATATGGTAATACATGGAGGGGAAACCGGCGTCCGGGCAAAACCCCTCGAAAAAAAAACTACCTCCACAAAAACCGTCGCTATCACAGCGGATCACAACGGCCGCACTTATTGCAAAGGCCAAGGGAAGCCACGAACGCGAGGAACTACGTTCCCCCGGACGATGGCCTCCCAACGCCCCCTACTCCTGCCATGGGTACACAGACCGCGACAGTAATGCGACTTTCCCGCATGGTAAACATGGCCCTTCCCAAGTGCTAAAAACTGCTAGCTACTCCGGCAAATTCATCAACTTGCGCCGGTGGTACTGCAGACTGCTCTTGCTAAGAGCCTTGGTAAGCATGTCGGCATGCTGCTCCGACGTCGACACAAACTTGATCGAGATGTCCCCCGACCTGAACAATCCACGAATGAANTCCCAAGTGCTAAAAACTGCTAGCTACTCCGGCAAATTCATCAACTTGCGCCGGTGGTACTGCAGACTGCTCTTGCTAAGAGCCTTGGTAAGCATGTCGGCATGCTGCTCCGACGTCGACACAAACTTGATCGAGATGTCCCCCGACCTGAACAATCCACGAATGAAGTGGTACCTCACGTCGATGTGCTTGCTACGCGCTGAGCTGAGGGGGTTCTGCACCAAAGCCATAGCCCCCTGATTGTCCTCAAGGACCTGAATGCTACTGCCACTGGTCTCTGGGGCAATAAACGAAAGCACTGCACGCACAAACAAAGCTTCCTTCACACCCTCCCCGGCAGCAATGTACTCTGCCTCCGTAGACGACAAAGATACGATAGCTTGCGTCTTGCTACCGTGGCTGATGACGGTCCCTCCAACCGTTGTTGCCAGCCCTGACACCGAACGCCTATCCTCAGCGTCGGCGTAGCTAGCGTCCACGTACACCTCCAGCCCCAACCCCGATCCCCGTTCGTAGGTGATCCCGAGGTCCCTCGTCTCTTTGAGGTAGGCGAGGATCTTCACGATCGCCTTCCAGTGCCTCTCGGCAGGGGCATGGGCATGGCGCGCTACCGCACGCACGGCGAACGAGATGTCCGGGCGCGAGAACGTCGACACCCACATCATGCTGCCGATGGCCTCCCTCACCGGCCATTCCCCTCCACTCTCGTCATCCCGCTTCGGTCCTATATCGACACCAGGGGAAGCAGGGATGGAGGAGGTCGACTGCACATCAAAGCGATTCACGATGTCAATGTACGCGGTTTGGGAGATTCTAAGGGTCATCCCAGCCTCTAGGTCTCTCTCGACGGCACACCCGTCGAACCACACGCACTCTCCAAGGTCTTTGGTGGGGAATGCCTTGTTGAGGGAAGCAAGCAACTCCTTGCAATCATCATCAGACCCAGCCACCAAAATGTCATCCACATAAATCACGATAATCATCACCACGACATCGTCTTTCATCTTGCGGAAGACGCACGGGTCAGCCTTGCACTGCTCGAACCCGTTTTCTACAAGAGTATCGGCAGCGTGGTACCCCCACTGCCTGCCGCTCTGCTTCAAGCCGTAAATAGCACGCTCAGCCTTCACAACTTTGTGGGATTTTTCCCCGCACCCCGCGGGGAGCCTCAGAAACACATCCTCGTCCAACTTAGCGTGTGTAAACGCCTGCTTGACATCCCAGTGGTTGAGTTTCAGCGATTTCTCGTTGGCTACCGCAAGCATCAGTTTAATGGATGCGGATGATGGGCAAGGGGAGGATGAGTGGAAGTAGTCCACGTTCGGGATTTGCGAAAACCCCCTAGCGACCAGACGCGCTTTGAACTTCTCAATTTTTCCGTCCTTGTTTGTCTTCCAAGTGAAGCGCCACTTCGAGCTCACAGGTCTACGACCCTCTGGCGTACCGCAACGAATGAAAACGTTCCCGTGCCCAGGTGCCCATCAAACTCTTCCCTCATGGCCTGTTCCCATCCCTCTCTGTACACAGACTTGAGCCCCAACCCCGATCCCCGTTTGTAGGTGATCCCGAGGTCCCTCGTCTCTTTGAGGTATGCGAGGATCTTCACGATCGCCTTCCAGTGCCCCTCGGCAGGGGCATGGGCGTGGCGCGCTACCGCACGCACGGCGAACGAGATGTCCGGGCGCGAGAACGTCGACACCCACATCATGCTGCCGATGGCCTCCCTCACCGGCCACTCCCCTCCACTCTCGTCATCCCGCTTCGGTCCTATGTTGGCACCAGGGGAAGCAGGGATGGAGGAGGTCGACTGCACATCAAAGCGATTCACGATGCTGTCAATGTACGCGGTTTGGGAGATTCTAAGGGTCCCAGCCTCTGGGTCTCTCTCGACGGCACACCCGTCGAACCACACGCACTCTCCAAGGTCTTTGGTGGGGAATGCCTTGTTGAGGGAAGCAAGCAACTCCTTGCAATCATCATCAGACCCAGCCACCAAAATGTCATCCACATAAATCACGATAATCATCACCACGACATCGTCTTTCATCTTGCGGAAGACGCACGGGTCAGCCTTGCACTGCTCGAACCCGTTTTCTACAAGAGTATCGGCAGCGTGGTACCCCCACTGCCTGCCGCTCTGCTTCAAGCCGTAAATGGCACGCTCAGCCTTCAC